TAGCTGTATCTCTGGCCTGTACTCTGTAGATGCTGTTAGTTCTCCTACCCACAAGTGCCATAAACAAAATTTTCTTATGAAAACAACCAAATGTTTCTCAAGGATAAAAGCATTCTGAAGTTTCAACACTGTTCAGGATGAAACAGGACCCATACATCTTATTCCTTAACTCTTTCCACGTATTTTTTGTGCATTTGTAGAGCAAGAAGCCTTCCTGGTTGGGGCATATCCAGTTTGTATAATCACAGCTTGATAATAACAAAAATAATTTAGACAACTTCATCTCTTAATTTTTCACATGAGCTGTATAAATTGAGGCCTGAGATTCCACTTCATATATGATCCCAAAGAATAGGAAAAATTCTCAGTGTCCTGGTCCACAAACCACTGACTTTCAGGATCACCTGGAGAACTGATTTACATCTGTACGCCAGTCCTGCCCAGTGGGTTCCCTGGGGGCTGGAGGCTCAGAGATCTGCATTTGGCTTTCTTTCTTTTAAACAATGCTGTTATCTTTGTATAGTTCAGACTGAAAAGACAGTGTTAAGTCTCAGCCTGTTGTGTATACTTGATGAGTTCCCCCTCCATCTGCTCTCCTGATGTATCTGCATGCAGTTGACTACTTGCCTGTGTGACCTTCCAGTGTTTTTTTTAGAATACATGTTTATAACAAACTCCCTCATATGATCTGAGCAGCCTGGAATGGGAGAGCCAGTATCCCGAGTAGAGCAGTTTTCATGTTCAACACAGAAGGTGGGGAGGCAAAAAAAAAAAAAATCTTTCTCATTGTGCCTGCAAAACAGAAGGCGTAGTGAAGTCCTGGCACTTGGCTTCTCACTGTGTTGAGTTTTAGAGATGCTTTTCTCCGCTCATCCATACCTGGGCCTGGGCCCTGGCCTGACTTGTAATAAAGGAAGAGGAAGAATGAGTCTAAATACAAGCCAACAAGCCTGGGGCAGGGTTCTGCTGTGGAAGGTGTCTAGGGCCAGATGACTGGGATGGGTGGCTTGGGTCGGAGGCGGAGTGTAATCTAGAACAGCTCTAGTTCTCACTCTCTCTACCTTCCCAGAGTTGATGGCAGGGTAAACCTTGTGCTTAGTGCACTGGGCTGGCCGGGGCATTGGGACACATTGGGGATTCAGGAAAAAAACAAAACAAACAAAACGCTGGTTCTATAATTACAGGACTTAATTCTGGTGATGACATCCCAGTCAGCCACATAGGGGTTCCTTTCTATTTTAATTTTTTTTCCAGGCTGGTGGCATCTAGATTTGGCTGCTGGGCTCAGAGCATTTCATTCTGTGTACTTGGCCTCTAAGTCAAGACTCAACGGCGTGATGCTTCTCATTAAGTCGATTTTGGCTTTCCCTGCTGCAGGTCTGGACCCCGCGGGACCCATGTTCGAGGGGGCGGATATCGACAGGAGGCTGTCCCCGGATGATGCAGACTTTGTGGATGTCCTGCACACCTACACCCTCTCCTTTGGCTTGAGCATCGGGATTCGGATGCCCGTGGGCCACATTGACATTTACCCCAATGGCGGCGACTTCCAGCCAGGCTGTGGATTCAATGACGTCTTGGGATCTATTGCCTATGGAAGTGAGTTTCTACTTACCTGTCTTGTGTTTGATTCGCTCTACCCACCTTCTGAGTCAGCCTGAGCTGTTAGTGCAGCCAACAGTTCAATTCATCTTTCTTTTCTCTCCCCACACTGCTGAGTTATACTGCATGGCTGTTACCAACATTCACCTTCTTGCTCACGCTTCCAGACCACAGTTATTACTGATTAATTTTATTTTTTTCCTGAGTCAGGGCCTCACTATGTAGCCCTGGCTGGCCTGGAACTTACAGACATCTGCTTGTCTATGCCTCCCAAGTGCTGGGATTAAAGGGGTACCACCATGACAATTTTGTGGGGTTTGTTGTTTTGTTTTGCTTTTTTTGTTTTTGTTTTTGTTTTTTGAGGCAGTTTCTTATGTAGCCTTGGCTGTCCTGGACTTGCTTTGTAGATCAGGCTGGCCTTGGACTCACAGAGATCTGCCTATTTCTGCCTCTCTGATTGCCGGAATTACAGGCATGCGCCACTGTGCCCAGCAAATTTTGTGTTTTTAAGTGTTATTTATTTTTTTTTAAACAATCCATGAATGCTGGGATCAAACCTGAGTCTTCTGGAAGAGCAGCCAGCGTTCTTAACCTCTGAGCCATCTCTCTAGCCCTGTCTCTGTATCTTACTAGGAACTTGGAATACCACTGAACCTACCTTAAGATACATACCACCAGCCTCAATAAACCTAACTATCACTGATGAGGTGTACATTGATTGCTGATTGAGTGGTGGAATCATCGAGAAGTCGTTCATATCATGTGCTCCCTGTCCTCTGTTTCCTTAGCAATCACGGAGGTGGTGAAATGTGAGCATGAGCGAGCTGTACACCTCTTTGTTGATTCTCTGGTGAATCAGGACAAGCCGAGCTTTGCCTTCCAGTGCACAGACTCCAACCGCTTCAAAAGGGGTATCTGCCTCAGCTGCCGGAAGAACCGTTGTAGTAACATTGGCTACAATGCTAAGAAAATGAGAAAGAAGAGGAACAGCAAAATGTACTTAAAAACCCGGGCTGGCATGCCTTTCAGAGGTAACTTACGTCCAGGCTCCCAGATGCCGCTTAGCACTGTTCCTCCTTTATACTCTCTTGTGGAACAGGGCATGTAGCAGCCCAAGAGCTGTGGTCGTTTAGCGTAAAAAGTTATTACAAATCAGATCACATTGTCCCTACCCTAGTAAAGTGCTCCTTAGAAGTCCAGGGTAAGGACTCCTTTCGTGATGTAATCATTATATCAGAATCTTAAAATTCTGTCTTGCATTTAGTTTTTCAAAACATGTTCGTGTTCAGTAGATGTGAAGCAAAGTACATAGGTGATTGAGGCAATTAGGTTTTACTTTCATCGTCTGTTTACAAGATTTTGTGAAACAGCATTTTGTATACGAAGACCTTGAGACTCAGAGAGGTTTCTACCTTGGTCCTTAGTCCAGCGCCACACAGTAGAAAATAAGTAGCCTCAAGTCCCCAAACATCTGATCCCCAAGTTCAGGCCCCTTCTTCAGTGATGTCTTATGCTGCCAGGGAGAACAAGACCAGAGTCAGCTGAGGCTAGACCAGGCCACCAGGCTTCTTGTTTCTAAAATTCAGTGTGCTGAGTGACTCCTGACAGGGCAAGCAAGGCTCACAAAGGTCTTTGTGCTGTTGTGCAGTTTACCATTATCAGCTGAAAGTCCACATCTTCAGTTTCAAGAACAGTGCAGACATCCAGCCCACCTTCTACGTCACCCTGTATGGCAGTAACGCAGACTCCCAGAACCTGCCCTTGGAAGTGTAAGTACTCTTGGGTATGATTGAGAGCGTAAGGAAAGTGTTGGAAGAAGTACAGGAGATTCAGGTCGGCTTGCCCAGGGGAGGAGCTGGGTGGTTCTAGCTGGCATCTGTATCCACTCTTTCCTCTCTCATGCTGTGTGTGCTCCTTCGAGCTTGACTCAGAGGGTTTCAGGGAAGGAAGCTCCCAAGGTGAATCAGTTGTGTGAGAAACTGCTGGGTCATCTGCCCAGAAACTGCCGTTTCATCTCAGGCAACGCCTGCCACCTGAGGCTTTGGGGACTCTGGAACTCTCTGAACGCCATTTCTGGATCTTGTATAGTAACGGTCTGTGGGAGGGGTGCGTGGAGGTCTGTAGAAATTTTTTGAGCTCCCATGAGGTACAAAGCCTCCTCCTGGGATGTTGGCATTGTGAAGAAATACCAGTCAGCCAGGTGTGGTGGTGCAGCCTGTAATCCCAGCACTTGGGGTGGGGTGGTGGGGCTGTGGCAGGAGAATTGTGAGTTCTGGGCCAGCCTGAGCAATACAGTAAGATCTTGTCAACAAACAAATGGTAAGGAATAAGAAAGGAAGGAAGGCCATTAAAGTCATACTCGTAAGGGCTTAGTGTCTAACGGGAAGGCAAGGCTTGAGCATCATGCTCAAGCATCATGATGTGGCAAGGCTGTCCATACGAACTGGTAGAGGAGACAGGAGGAGGGGAGAAAGTGAGGCTGTAGCTTCTGGGCTGGGGGACAGCAGGGCTTCGTAGGGGAGGCGATGTGATGTTTTCTCTTTTCTGCTCTTGCCTGGTGTTGTCTCTTGGGAGTCAGTGGCACAACGGGAGAGCTGCTTGCAAATGGTTTTGATAAGAAGTCAGGCTCTTTGGGCAAAGTTGTCTGTCAGTGTGGAGTGCAACTCAGCTTCCTTCGTGGTCCTGTGAAGCAGGGGCAAGGAGGGCATGAGGTGGGCAGATGTGCCAGTTTCCCTGGGGCGGGGGAGTGAGTGAGATGCATTTCTCTCTTACCTTTCAGAGTGGAGAAGATTGGGCTGAATGCCACCAACACCTTCCTGGTCTACACTGAGGAGGACTTGGGTGAGCTCCTGAAGATCAGGCTTACCTGGGAAGGGATAGCTCATTCCTGGTACAACCTGTGGACTGAGTTTCGAAACTACCTGTCTCAACCCAGTAACCCCTCTCGGGAGCTGCACATCCGACGAATTCGCATCAAGTCTGGGGAAACGCAGCGAAAGTAAGTGTCCCTGCCAGTCTTGGTCTTTTCAAGAGGAGCGCACTGGGCTTTTGTGCACTGTCTTCTTTTGTACAAGTAATAGGCAGAGCCCTCCGCTACCAGCTAAACCTCAACTACTTTTGCAAGGATTATTACTCCCAGATAAGGGCTTCTGGAAACTGTCGTACATCTCACGTTGTGATCACAGTCCTCAGGAGGAGGGGGTGTGCAAGGGCCGTGTGGAGTTCAGCATTTGTTCTGTTTGCCAAGTCCTGTGCCAGCCTTGAAGTGGACTTTCCCTAGACGGAGCTCTCTGGGTGTGCTGCACTGAGGGGACGATTGGAGCATCTGGGTCCATGGGTGATGTCTTCCATGGGCCTGCACCCTTCCAGAGCCTACTTTCTCAGAGCATCGTTGTGTCTCATCCAGAGGTCCCGAGTCAGTGCTGTGCCACTGGGGCTGTAACTTCCACTAGCAGAGAGCTTGGTAGGCTGTCCCAGCTGGCGGCCTCTCATTTCTTTGAACTCCAAACTGGGAGATCCAGACCTTTATATATCAACTCTTGTTACTGTGCCCTAACTCTGCCAAGGAGGGCTCAAAGCCAGTGAAGCCTCCTCCTCTGCAGTGGTCACCATCAGCCTCAGGTTGGATGAAGCAGTCTGCACCCTTCTTCTTTTTCCTGTGTCTATTGTGCTTGGCCAGGCTGGCAGAGGAGGGGGTGAACTGCCATGTTGGATCCTTCCTTAGATTATTTAGTCTAGGAACCTGGGACTTGGGGATATTTTGAGTGGGTCGCTGTTGGCACTCTTCAGTGGTCTTGTACCTCTTTTAGTCCCCTGCACTCTTAAGTGCAGCCTAGACTGAAAGGTGTGATAGCAGAAATACAATCATCATTATAAAATAATTCAGATGTAGTAGACACTCATTAAATCACCATTGAGACAACAAATATGAGCAGCTTCCCAAATTGTGTTCAGATATAGGATTTCAAAAGGCAAATATTACAGAAACATTTGGAGTCAATTCTTCCTCTGCCCCCACCTTCCCTTCTTTCAAAGCAAATGGTTTGAAAAACTTGCCTTAATTATCTATTGGTAACGTGTTTTCTTTTTTATGTTTTTATGCCCACTAGTACCATCAGTATGTAGAATTGTTTTAGTTGCTGCTATATTTTCCATAATTGGGCATACTGTTTTATGAGTTGGCTTCAAACATTCAGATGTTATCTGAGGAATTTATCCAATAACCTTAGATGTAGTCTATCGATACTTAATTCTTCAAGGTGGTTGGACCAGTTCTCAATCTTGCCCCTTGTTTCCTAGTTTTCCTCTTTTGCTTCCTCACCCACAGTGGGACACTGTTGCCATTCTGTGAGGTAGGAGCAGCATTTCTGGTGTTGTATCGGTTTGTATTTTTCTGATTGTGAGTGAGTTAAGCTAAGTTTTTTTTTTTTTTTATAAGTTTATAAACACATAGGCCCAAAGGTGCTTAAACTCCCCAGGAAAGGTCCTGTGTCAGGATCAGAGTGACATATGCCCTACACAGGTCATCTGTGGCCACCACATTATCAAGGCCGTGTGGTACAGCCACAAACTGTTGCTTCCCACAGACTCTTGCGAAATGGTGATTATCAGGCCTTTGGTTTTCTTATGCTTTTTGCTGTCCATGTGCTGAACTTTTTTTTTTTTTTTTAGATTTAATTTTTATATTTTGAATTGTGTGTGTGTGTGTAGATGTGTGCATGTGAATGCAGGTACCCGCAGCTTCCAGAAGAGAGCATTGGCTTCTCTGGGCTGGAGTTGTGGGTGGTTGTGAGCCACGTGACCTGGGTGCTGAGGACCGAATTCCGTCCTCTGCAAGTGCAGTGTGTGCTCTTAACTGTTGAGTCATCTCTCCAGCCCAGACCTTTGCTTTTGATGTGTAGTTGAGTTCCAAGTGCTCTTGTCAGTATCCATAGCACTGTCCTATAGGCCTCAAGTCTGGTGGGAAGGCTGACCATTGATTTCAAAACCCCAGAACAGTTTCAAGCAGTGAAGCCTATTGTAAAGTAGAGCAAAACTTTAATATTGTAAGTCACAACAGTCACCAAAGCCACAGTCATGTAAAGATATGCCTTTGAGTAAGCTTCAGGGTGGTCAGGTTCCTGGGGATGTTGGCAGGACATTGGCAGGAGCTTCCAAGACCTCATGACCCCAAGTAACAGGCAGCCTTTTGGGAAAGTAGAGAAGAAAGTAGAAATGTGTGATCGAGGCTGCATGAGACTGAATCAGAAAGCAAGATTCACACTACCATTCTACAGCAGCCATGGTCAGCCATGCGCACTGGATGGGCAGTCCTGCAACCTGGTCAAGCTTGCAGCTGTGATGGTGAGTCTGCCTCAGCAGCAGGCAGTTCTGAGGGCCCTGGAGAGGATACAGCATGCTGGAAGGTTCTCTTTCCCTTTGCGGTGTACACTGAGTCCAGAAAGCACCAGAAAGCACCGTCTAGAGTTTTGTCTACAACCGTGGTTTCTTTTTTTCTCTTAGAATGACATTTTGCACTCAAGATGCTAAGAAGACTAGCATCTCCCCTGGCCAAGAGCTGTGGTTTCACAAGTGTCGGGATGGCTGGAGAATGAAAAACGAAACCAGGTAACTAGCATTTCTTGTGTTCTACGGGCTCATGGCCAATGACAGAAAGTCCCTCCCTTATAAAACTCACCCGGTGGAAGGTGAGAGGCAAACTCCTAAGGGAAAACATTAGGCTTCAGGAAATGTGAGTGTCCCTCTGTCCCTTGCTCTGTCTTATCCTCTAGGTGCTCACTGTACATGTACAAAGAGCTCCAGTGTTGGAGTCCATGGCTTCTCCCCAGCTCTGCTCACTACAGGAAGTGTACTTCCTGTACTTCCTGTATACCTCCTGCAGTGAGCAGAGCTGGGGAGAGGCCTTGTTTCCTGGCTTTTTCGGCCACTCTGCTGCAGTAGGCAGTGGGGTGCAAGGGCAAGATATAAACATACTTATTAGGTTTTTCTGGAACCCAGATTGTTATGATTGAGGTTAGTGGGCCTAATTTGCCCCACTTTAGGGCATAGGAATGCTTGTGTGTAGAGTCAAGACAGACGGGCTCTCTTGTGTGGTATCACATTGCTCGGTGTGAAACCACATGATTTCAGGTGGAGGAAGGCAGGCCCAGGCCATGGTATATGGCAGTGGGATCCTCGGTCGAGCCTGTTTTATGCCATCTAAACCACAGCACCTTCTGAAGATGAGGGAGACTGTCTCTAGCTGTTCTCACCTCCTGCCCCTTGCCTTCAGTGGAATACTGGGTGATAATCCTGCTTCGGAATGCTGGTCACTCAGCAAGTGCCCACTGGCAGCCAATGACTTGCAGAATCTATATTGACAGCCTCAGGAGGCAGGCATTACTGTCCCTGTGGACACTGAGAAAACTGAGACTTGGGAAAATGAAGTCTTTCTCCCAGGATTCCCTAGTGTGTGTGATGGGCCTTTTATTCGAAAGCTTGCTCATTTCAGTTAGAGAAGTTTCACCTGCCCAGGGAATTGGTACCTTTGCTTAGGTACCAATTATCAGGCAAGCCATGCCCAGGGATCCCCTGTGATTAACCATCTGCTAATCCAGCAGTCCTGACTGCACCCCCAGGTGATTTGGCTTCTATTAAGGAGCGTCAGCAGACCCCACACTTAGCAGTCACAGGCTTGTGGGGTCTGAAGACTTGCTCCCCCCGCCTCCGTTAAGGGCTGCAGTCCAGTGCAGGCTCATTTGATCTTCCTCTATCATTATTGTAACTCTTTTTGTTTGTATTCAAATTCACCTCTTTCCTGTGTACATTAATTTCATCAATACATTGTCTACCCCAGAAGGACTCACATAAGCGAGAAGGAGCTATCTCTTGCTCTCTTGCTATTTCTGTTCTAGCACGCACTAACTTATGTAACTTGGCTCACACTTTTTCTTTTTGGGAAACAAGCCAGCCCTTTGTTTCCTGTTCAAGGCACAGAACACAATAGGAGCCCAAGCAATAAAGGAACTATTAGGAAGTTATGGCATCCATGGTCACATGCATTTGCAATCAGATTTCTCTCTCCTGACATGAGCTTGTTTACTAATGAGAGACTAAAGGTCAGGGAGTTTCTATAGTTGAGAATAGAATTCAGGTGTCTTGACCCAGCCTTGTTTCCATCTTGCCACAGTAGAATATTGTGTGTTTCTAGATGAAGGCAAAGAAGTTTGATAGTTCTCCTCACGCTTGTGTGTATGTGTGTGTGTTGTGCAAGGCACATGAATGCATTGACTTATGACACGTGCACTTAGCAGCCCAGACAGGCTCCTATGGGTGTTTTTCACAGGGATCTTTCCATCTTCTTAAAGGCAAGCCAGTAAAACAGCCTGTCTGGTGTGCGGAACGCTCAGTCTTGGTTTACATCTTGATAGATACACCTTGGTACAGGTTTGCCCATTTGCTGGTGAGTGAGCTAACCTTGTATTGCCATGGTTCCTTCCAGGCCCTTTGTGGAGTTGGCCTGAGGGCTCAAGAAGTCCTGAAGTCTATGCCCACACCCTGCTGACACGCACACGGAGGAAAGTTACTGCTGAAGACCCCCTCGATGGAAGACCTCTGCCTTGATCCCGGTGCCCAGGAGGAGCTTGCTTGCTGGGCTCACCTCGTCTCCCCCAACTGCGACTTCTCTTGGAGAAACCTCTGCCCTGATAAAGTTCTAACTCCAAGGCTCTGTTGACACCTCAGGGAGCAGAGCCAAGGTTGTGTGAACACTGGACTATCCCGAGCCCTGTACACTCTTGGATGCTCTTCTGTTAGGTGAGCCCTGGCTTTGTCCAAGAGTAGGAACTCAGGCTCTGGCATGGCTCTGTGTGGAAGGTTGGCAGGTGCTTGGCCTCACAGAACCTTAGTGACAAGTCTTTCCCCAGGAGCTGGCTCATACCTTAGTGACAGACCTGTTACCTAGAGAGAGGACAGTAGACAAGGCTGGGGCTCTCGTCCTGCTGTCCTCCCGCGTGAGGTACTGATGGATCCTGGTTTTATCTTAGATATTCCATCATGCTCATCTTCTGAAGCTCACACTGTTGGCATTTCCTTTTACATTATTCATCCTTTGATTAAACAAACATTGGCCACGTCAACTAATTAGCACCAGCAGTAGAGACATGGCTCAACAACGTTTGCATGTGGAATCAATAGGATCAGGACCCCTGGAATCCCTCAGGTCCACTGGCCCGTGAGGATGCCTGTGGTTAAAGACAGGCAGGGCCAACAAGCAGGCAACAGGCTGATAGAACTGGGGCTCTGAGGCTTTTACATACCATTTCCTCTAAGGGCCATACTTGATCACGCTAACAGAACAGCAAGCAGAAAATCATGCCTGCAGGCCACAGCAGTGGAGCAAAGTCCTGCTGTTTAGGGAGCTAGACAGTATTGCTTGTGGTCTACGTAGCTGCCTTGCAGAAACCAGTCCCCTCTGACAGAGCCGGCACTAACATTTGATACGGTGTTTTTTCTTCCACAAAGTAGCTTGCTTTTATATCAGTGCCTTATCGGTTAAACTCCTGGGAAAAGTCCCCTGTTCTAGATCTTAATGTGAAGAATTGATAAATATGATACCCTAGACACCTTTCTACGGGTTTTTAGACAGCTTGCGTGTCACCTAATTCGAGTGCAGGGAGAGGCACTGCCGTTATCAGTCTTGTTTCACAAAATCAAGGCTTAGGGACGTTCAGCCTCCTGATTAGATAATATATCTAAGTGGTGGCGGGAGGAGGCAAGCTAAGGACCCAGTAAGGCTTCCTGGAAGCAAAGTTCATGAAATCCTTTCTGCAGCTCCACAAAGATATCTGCAACCATTTCGCATTAATATGTTCCTGTTGTGATAAGCAAGGGATTTTTTTTTTTTAACCAGAGCTATCCATAAAATCTAAATCCTTTCATTAATATACAACCAGAAGAACACATGGGAGAAGGGCTGAGTTCTTAAGGGTGTGCTGCCCGCTGGCGGGGGGAGGTGGGAGAAGGGTCACTCTCTGTATCTAGGTTTTTAATGGACATTCTTTGTACTGTACCAACTTTGCATCTCTGTTTCATGCCAAAGTTCTGAAGAGGTAACTAGCTGCATCTTAACACACAGTGCCCTCTCAACCCCCGAAGTGTGCTTCTGCAATTGCCCTCTAGCCAAAGTGAAGCTTGTTATTGGCCACACGTCCCGGTGACTTCCAGCTTCTGTGTTCAGTAATGGAAGCTTGGGAGAACTGAATCCTCTGTGAGTTGTGTATTTATCCATGTGGCTTGAAGCCTTGTTTGTATATCTGATGCTTTTTAAAAATGCTTAGACCACTATTTATTTCTTAAGTGTATATAATGTGTAAAGACAAAGATGTGCTTAGTTTTTACTTTAAGATTAACTGATTTCAAGATTTACAAAGTTTAATAGTAAAATTAAAAAAAAAAACCTATACAGCTCTCAGTTGTCTGGTAACTCATTTCTTAAAATTGGAAACAATATGGCTGCCTAGGTCTTGGGCTTAATACAGAATTACTTTAGTTTATTCTCTATTTGATAGTCACTGTTAGCAGGAAGTAGACAGCTAATTTATTGATAGATGGGAAGAAGAGCTACCTGAACTGCAGCAAGGAGACCCGAAGGTAGATGCTTTGAAGAACAGAGAAGGTTGGACATTAGGGGACATTTGTGAGCATGTAAGTTTGGTTGCATGAGCTCAGACAATGGTTTCTTAAACTGGGTGGAGGCTGATTTCTCTACTGAGCTGAAGTCCCTGGTGGGACAAGAGGAGATTAAGTACTTGGCTTTTCACTGAGCTAGCCATAGCATGATCTGTTCAGCCCTAGAGTCTAAGGTGTCTCCCTTCAGGTCCCCTTCCAGTAATGGGAAGGTGAGAAAGGAAAGAGGAGCTCAGCCCTTCTCTAGGGGCTGACCTGACAGTTGTCAGAGTCAATTGCTGGGTAGAATGAGAGGCTGGGAATTCTGCGTCTGTTCAGGATTCCCAGGGCCCAGCTGAAAGCCCAGTTGTTGGATATAAAAAGGGAAATTGGATAGTGCCATCTGTTTATCAGAAATTGTTCTCCCCTGGAGGCAGGGGATAAACCAAATAGCTGTTTAAACAAGGTGCCTTGCAGTAAACATTTAATACAAATAGTATACATTGTACTCAAATTTTAGTATACATAGGATTTATTTATTTTATTTTTTATTAAAAATAGAGTCTTAGTATATCTCCTAAGCTAGTCTTGAACTCACTGCTCAGTATGTCTTCCAGGCTGAACTAAAACTCATACTCCCCTCCTTGGATAACAGCCGGTAGAACTATGCTTATTAATTTTGATGTGACCCTTTAAGTTGAGGTAGGTTATATAAATTTGACTTTATTTCTGGTATTCAATGTTAAAACACTTTTAAAATATTTTAAAAAAACATTAACAAGTTAGCACTTAGTTGCAAATGACTTTTCCTATGTGCCAGCAATACTGTGTGGCGTTAATACCACCCAAACCTAGAACTCACTCTGTGATACAGTCTGTCTTCAAACCGGAGATTCTTTTGCCTCAGCCTCCAAGCGCTGCAAGTACAGGCGTATGTCAGTATATTCAACAATGCAGTGTGATTGCTACCAAATCCTGGGTCTGTGCAATCCTGGCTTAAAACTCGTAGTAGTTAAAAAAAACAAAAAACAAAACAAAACAAAACAAAAAAAAACTGTGCAGTAAAAGCAGCCACAAGCACCCCCATAAGCCGGCACGGCACCTTGAGGTTTCTTCCTTGACGAAACTGAAAGAGCATGTATGAGTGGTCCCTCAAGAGCAGATGTGTTTACTGCAGCGTCTTCCAGGGGCATGGGCACAGTGTGGGCACAGTGTGGGCTGCTTTAGGGTAGCTCTTCACACAGCACTGTCTTCTACAGTTGCATGCTAGCTTGTCAAGGCACCTTGACCTTCAGGATCAGGCGCAGTCAGGTGACCAGCATCAACTGAGAGTCCACAGCCATGAACTTCCACTGATCCAAGCCTTTCTTTGAACTTCACATTCATGTTCTTCTAGCACTAGCATGGTGGTACTTATTCTCATGACAAAACCATCTTTAGAGGAAATGGCCAACATGATTCTAATACGCTCAGAGCTCGGGCTAGAAAAATCACACAATAGCTGAAGGACTGATGTGAAATTCTGAACCCTAGTCACCACCACACCAGCGTCATCTTGAGTCAGAGGTCTGAGCCTCCCACAGCATGGGATATAGACGGCACATGTTGCAGATTGGAGTTCTTTGTACCGAATGCTCACCTGGTCCACTGCCATATTGATCAGAATCTTAGGTCCAGAGAAGAGGTTGACCTTCTTACTACCTTTGGTCTGAAACATCAAAGCAGTGTCAGGAGGACCCAGTCCTGTGCCAGCCAACTGCAGCACTAGCAGCCATTGGATCAGAAGACCAAGGCTGTCAGCAAGGTGCTGCTGCCCAATGGCCGTGATGTTGGGAGAAGGCATGGGCTTATTTGTGTCTGATTTGGACACACACACGTTTTATTTGTTTAATGGCCTTCATGAGGTCCTCTTGGCACACACAACCATGCTTCGAGAAATCTTCTTATCCTAACAATTCTACTTTTTCCTGGAAGAACACAATCCCATACCAGGTGAATCCTAACGGCAAAAGGAATCACACTCCCCCTCCCCCATGATAACAGCCTTCCTGTCAGGGCCAGAAAACCTCTTTTTGTTTCTTATTAACCACCATCAAAATCACAGATATCAAAGATGAGTTCTTTTACTCTTTAGGAATTTGACATCATTGTGATTTAGATGGTCACAGAAACAAGCTCCTAATGGTCTGTCTTCTGAAACAGGGCCGAGAAACCCTTAAAACATCTAAGATGAGAATGCAGCTCTCTGTAAAGGGTTTCAGCAATGGTGGGAAACAGAGGACATCTTTCTCCATCTCCACAAAGGACATCCTGAAACCAAGTTCCTTATTGCAATTAGGATTTGGATTAGACACCAGTGGGGATGTTGTTACCTTAGTTCAAGGGTCAGCACAGGTATCACCTGGCAGAGAAAAGGGCAGACATTGTGTTTCTGGAAGAGCAGAGGAAAACATCGAAATTGCTCAAAAGTAGAAGGGTCCTCTGGGTGAGTTCAGAGTGTCTTGTTTGACTTGGCCTTCTGATCCACTCCCATTAGAGGCAGGAGAATCTGCATGGACGTCTCTGGGCCTCTCCAGAAACAGAGCCTAAGACAATATGCAGAACAGAGTGGGTGTTAAATGACCACTTACAATGAAATGAAATTAGGTACAAAGATATGTGTTGTTTAGACAGTAGAGAGGTTAAGGGCAAGCACAAGAGTCTGGCGTTAAAAGTCACAGTGTGGTGCTCAGAATGATATGACCATTAGTTTATGTGTAAGCTTTCCGAGTCTTTGCCTGATCTCTTTAAGAAACAGACACAAAAGGCTGAGATGGGATTGTGAATTCAAGGCCAGCTTGGGTTGTAGAGCAAAACCCCTTCTTTACCAACTCAACCCAACTCACCAACCCCAAATGAAGAATACCACCTGATGTTGAGAAACAGTAAATATATATACACATGCATATGTACATGTATATATTGTAAGATTAATTTTTAGTGTTTTGTAAGTATTTGCATTAGGAAAAAATATTAAAATTAAAGCAAAATAAAAATAAGCATCTTTTGGTTTATATGTAGAAATTTTATATATGAGGAGCTTTATGAATTACTGAAGACATGGGTATTTACTTAGACAATGGTGGGGATGGAGTCTCATTGAGGGGGAATAGACAATTTTAAATTAAACCCAGTTTTATATCATATACACAGATGAATTCCATATCAGCACAAAGTATAAATGTGAAGAAAGTTGAAATCTGTATCAAAACTGAAAAAGTATAAAATTTCATAGTTAGGATGGTAAGAATTAGAGAATTTCAAGGTTGAGGATGAGGCTTATTTGCAGAGTATTTGCCTAACATGTATGAGGTCCTGGGACCAGTCCAGAAAAGACTGTAGACAGTGGTGGCACATGCTTTTAATCCCAGTGCTTGGGAAACAAGTGGCAGGCATATTTCTGTGAGTATGGGGGCAGCCTGGTCTACAAAGCAAGTTTACATAGAGAGACCCTGTCTCACAAAACCAAAAAAAGTCAATAATATTAAAGAAATATAAATGTAAACCAAAAGTTCTTTGTTCATTACATTAAAAATGTATTCATGGAGGTTTAGCTGGGAAATTCTATCAAAATTACAAGTGCCATATAATTTACACAAGTAGCTCCAATAATAATAATAAAAAAAAACATTCAAATCTGGGTGTGAAAGTCCAAAATACTAAGGCTTTAGGGGCTGGCTCGCCTCCTCCTCGAGTGTCTCAGCATGTGACTGTATTTGGAAACGGGGTTTTAAAAGAGCTAGTTGAAGTGAGATGAGGTCATAGGGTAGGTTCTAATCCAATACTGCTGGTATCCTTATCAGAAGGAGAAATTTAGATACACTTGAGAGGTAGCAGGAATGCGCATGCACAGAGAAGAGGCCATCTGTAAACGAAGTGGGAGGTTTCAGATCAATCACGTAGCCACTTTGCTCTTGGGCTTCTACCTCCCAGAACTGTGAGAAAATAAATTCATGTTGTGTAGACTGACCAGACTGTGGTATTTAATTGTGGCAGGCCCTAGTAAGTTAGTCCAGGTACTAAAGTTAACAAGTTCTGTAAAGAAGGAATGACAGTCTTGGTTAATCTAAGAAATGCAAGAGTGATTTTTCCTTAGAAAATCTAGCACTGTAGTTCATCCAATAAATCTATTGAAATGCAAAGACTGTATAGTCATCTCTAAATATGAATGAAAAATATTTCACAATGATCTTAGAACTTCGGTACCATCGTAAAATAACGGTACTAAAGAAAAAGATGACTAAGTTTAAAGTTTAGTTTCTTTCGAGACAGTGAGAAGACAAGAGTTCTTGCTGTCAGTTCTATTGTTTAACATCACCCTGGACAATGGGACCCACACAATTACAAAAGAAAAAAAAATAGGGTTGAAAAGAAGACAACAGAAATCTTAGTATTTGCATATTATATATTCAGCTACAGGAGCAAACTTAGGAAATGAAACGGACTTTCTGCTGCTGTGATAAACACCAGACTTACTTCAGCTTTCACGTCATGGTCATGGTCTGTTGATCAAGGAGTTCAAGGCAGGAACCTGGAGGCAGGAACTGAGGCTGAGGGCACAGAGGACCCTGCTCACTGGCCTCTTCCAGGCTCATGCTCAGCTGCCTTTCTCATACAGCCTGGGGTCCCACCTGCCTAGGGATACTTCTGCCCACAGTGGATAGATACATCAATTAGCAGTCACGAAAATGTGCCCACAGACACACCAAGATGAAGACAATTCTTAACCGGGGCTCCCCATTCCC